AAGGATAATGATAATTGAAAATTGCACGCAAGCGTTCAGGTTCCTCTTAGTGCAGTGAATAAACAAGTTATTTTGGGAATTGGTCTATGAAGAGTAGAATTTCAAATCGTCTGACGTAGAATCAAACTTGATGATTTTTAAATTTGCAACAACTTCGGGGTTTATTTAAATTGCAATCAGTCCGAAGTGTTCCATAGGTTTGTAAACTACGTAAGTAGTTAGTGAAAGACCCTAGTATTGTTGTAAATGCCAGTGACAACCAAATTCCATCAACACCCAGTCATGCGGAAAAGAATGAGATGGAAGTGTTGCTTCACTCCAGTCTAAGCATCAAAAGTTCAACTCAGAGTGAATTTAGAAATTTAGTGAGAACCGCAGATGAAGGCTAATAGCATAACGGACGAGATGCGAAGCAGTGAGTAAAGAGTAAATTTGAAACACTTTTCCAATTTGAAATATTTGTAACTCACTGCGAGTGATGGCAGGATGAGCCGAGTTGTCGCTGTCCCATTTAACAGTAGGAAGCATAATTGTTCATGGTAAAGTTCGTGAGTCCCGTTGGGAAGAAATGCGACCGTATTTTGTCTGTGTATGTGATACTGTGCCGAAGAACAGAAAAACCAAACCTGGTTGCCGACAAATAATACCACGAGGATTCCTGGTTCGGATTAACCCCACGCGGGAATACACCAGAAAGAAAAGAAACTAAACAATTTAAACACATTTACTTGTTAGATGTCATGATGAAAATTCGACATTATAAGGATCATTAGGCCATTGCTACATGGCGAATATCCTCAAGACCGAACATAGATATACTCTACTGATAGGGTAGCTAAGATGCTAAGAGTTATCTGCGCTTTCCAGTCATTAACCTAGAAACCAATCCGGAATCGTTCCTAATATCCTGCGCAACTACATCATGTAAAGCCAAATGTCTAAATCGTTTGATTAGGCGGTCTAAGTCATTACAGGTCGGGCCCCTAGACCGTTCATTATAGAAATCTACACGCAGATAAAATTTAGCGTCGAACTCTGGAATAACTGCTCGTCTCAAACGATGGCCAGATTTCAAAATCGGGAATCGCGCAGTAGCGTGAAGATAAGGAAAAACCTCCCCTCAAAAATGTCCTGCGTGGTGCTCGATCTAGGGGTCGATTTTGACTCTGTAGATTTGCGGATGCTGTGGTCTACATGGCACAGACATGCAATGTATACAAAACAGAGTGGACCTGAGCATTCATACAGCAAGCTGTTGTCCGGGTCTTTTTGATTGGGGAAAGTCATCCGCTCTTATCGTTCCTCCAATAACAAGTTACCCACCTGCTGCGTGGAACTCTTATAAATGCGTCAGACGCCGCGTGGATCAGAATGGTCCCGGGTCGTTTGCGCGCTAATATTAGGTGAATAGATACTAGCGTTCTCCTTCGTTCGGAAATTTTTCAAATGCAAGCCATTTCGAATAGCTTACATGGAACAATCGGGCTAGTGGATGCGCGATTTATGCGGGTAACATGTGAAATGATGCAATAAAACTGGGTGGAAGACAGCCCGAACCTCATGTTTGCAGACCAGTCAGTCAAATCGGTAGCTAAATATACTTAACCGAGTAACTGTGGGAATCCGGTATAATGACTGGAGGCGAGATCACTTCTCAAGTGGGGAAAATCGGGACAGGTGTTACCGGAATCCAACACCTATGGTGCCAACGTGACGTCATTTTGCCCCTCATGGATATATGGCTATAGGATGGATAAGCTACCAATGTTTCACTGTTTACTCCAATTAGGACATTTACCTCGTATGTAAATAGACCGCCTACCTACTCCAGCAATGTGCTCAGTGGTAACGATTCACAGGTAGACGGTCTACCACGTGGCGAAAGAGGATAAACGCATTATTAGCTAAAGCCAGTTGGATTGATAGTTGCAACCTGTTCTATAGAGGAATGTGTCAGTAGCTCAGGTAGCGTAGATGGTCGTTGACTTGTTCGCTGAGCTGGGCTATTTGATTGCAAACGCTTCATCACCAATCGAGGGGACTTCATCAGTGCGTTATTAGGGATCGTAGTGGTGCGCAATGGCACAGATGATGTCACCTCGACTGGTGATGAAGCGTTTGCAATCAAATAGCCCAGTTCGGCGAACAAGCCAACAACCAGTTGCAACCTTCCTGGTTGGAGACCGCGGAACTCGACGAATCAGTGAGTGAGGACACCCAGGTAAACGGCTCAGTCAGAGTTCTGACTCAAGAGTATCGCGTTCACTGCGCGGCTATCCAAGTTTCAAATCCCAAAAGTAACTAAAATTATTCAGTGCGAACTAAATTATTGTGCCATGACCCCTAAGGATCAAATAAATGACCGTCAGTCATCCAAGTATACTGTGATCGATAGTTTAGCACTGGAAACCATTGGCACATGGTTTTTGGCTGACAAACTGAAAACCAAAAACGGAATAGCTCGCAGATAAGCGGAAAGGAAGGAGCCAATCGCGTTTCCTAATTTGCCGCTCTTATGTCACCGAAACAGCATCTTCTGCAATCTCAAGGGTCTTATGTATTAATGTACTGTTCGGGCTGTTTTCTTGTTTGACTGTGAGACGACCTACTCGGTCAGCGGAAGTGAGACACCTTTAGGTCTTCGGCCACCATATTTCTCATAGGCTGGCGTCGGCGAATTCTGAACGAGACATATTGGAAACAAGTTCTCCGTTGTGTAACTGGAACTTACATCAAGTCAAGTGTCCTGAATCGGAAGCTGCGCCATGTAATGCACACACCGAATCACCGTTTACTGGAAAGGTGTTGTTTTCAGTCATTATTTCAAGGTAACGCAAGTAGAGAGTTGGTCAGCCCTTGAAGGATATCATGAAAAGTCTGGCTGTTGTCAATGCGACTGCTCTTCCAGAATGGGGGACGCGTGATCTTCACTATTCCTGGTTGATGACGCTGCAAGTTATGATAAGTTATGGATGTCACTGGTGTTCTCGTTGTTATTTTCGATTCAGATTTTCTGAATGACTTTCTGGAGTAATAGGCATCGTGCAGTGGGTTAGAATTATGTCCTTTCCCCATCAACTTCTATTCTTCCCCTGCAATATAAGACCCAAATGAATATGAGTGTACCACAGTGGAACACCATTGTTGAAAACTGATAGTATACTGCTCACGATGACGTTAATGATGATGATAATGATGATGATGATGATGAAGATGATGATGATGATAAAAGGCAATGACAAACACAGTACACTAGACCAGGGTGCTCAAGATACTTCTATCACCAGCCATTCCAGCTGAACTTCATCCGCAGTCACAGTGAATCTCATGACGATCGTACTGTGAGAGAGCTTGAGGTACACCGAAATGTATTTGTTTGGATAGCGCCATAGTTTGTAGTATTGAAATGCTGGCTCCATTGATCACATAGCAGGTGGTTGTGAACAGGGCCTCAGTATACTTTCACCCACTGTGAAATGCAGTTGACAAAAGTTTCTAAAACTACTTTAACCAGTATGGAATTTTGATTGGACCTCTGATTGCATTCACGAAGACGCTACAGTAGACCTGAGTAGGCTACGATACACTACGTGAGCACATAATGTGACAGATTTTCGAAAAACTGTCGTGTGCTAGAAGTGCGATATCTGCATCAAAAATAACAGTTTGAGGTGCTCACTTACTTCTTCGCTTTTATTGATCGGTTGATATATGACTTTTCAATGATGATAAGAAAACGCTAGTTTCTGTTTTGCGAATTCAGCTATTCTTCTCCAATCACTTTATTGATTGGCCGATTACGTGCCGTTTTTAGCGCCTCTGGTTAACTTATGGTGGGACGGAAATAGAACCCAGAACGAAATTTTTTACTTTGGAAGCTTCGTCTTCACTTGCGGTTCATCGTACAGAGAAAGTTATGCACATTCACGAAAAATTTGACATTTTATTGGGTTTTTGTCAGGCCGTGACAATATATTCAGTGTTTTTTTTATTTACAACAAACCTTGTTGTCTCCTCGGTCGCGAACGCATAAAGGTATGATAGCCTGTTTCAGTTTACGATTGGTCAGAATAATTAAGTCGCAATCGTTAAGTAAAGTCGCTTAAGTCACTTGAGTCGAAATATCTGCGTAGTAATTAGAATTGTGAAACCCCTTGGGAGAAGCGGAATCCATCCTAGAGTGTGGACTCCCAGGAGTAAAACAGAATGCAGTTAGAATCAATGTATACTGGCGCAGTGACTGACTTAGCTTGAGATATCTCACACTCAGAAGATGCCTCGGTGGAAAGGTCTAATAATGTTAATTTTGATTATGTGGACGCTGGGCAAACGAAGTGTTTGGCGCTACGTAATGTATCACATTTAAATAATTTTCTTCTCTAGGCGGGGCTGATATTGAGCAAAACTACGCATTTAGGTGAGCGGTTTCTCACTGAGTTAATTGGAAATTCGCATCAGTGCTTTGGATAACCGGGATGCAGTCACCTAGAAATGAATAGGATATTCGTTCGTACTGTATTCGGCAGTCAATTTATATCAACCAATGCTATTTAGCTAAGTTCCGAGACCAGACTTGAGATTGTTATAGGTCACTATTGGAGAGAAATGAGTATTTGTCTAAGCAAGTGATGTGCGTTTTTCGTCCCAAGCCTTCTCATAGTTTGACCATAGGACACCAGGTGAACCAAAGTTTCAACTGCTGGCAGACAACCGTTCCAGTCGAACAAGAAATGTCAGTGCTTGATGTTTTCGTTGCATGACAGCATTCCATGCTTCACTGAAAAAAACGCAAACATCAGCATAGTAGAGATCCAGAAAGATCCAAATGAATAGGTTGAATCATATCAGTTCCGAACTCGTCACTGTACTCAAGAATTACATTCAGTTGCACATTAATTTGCTCTTCATTGGAGACTCGACCGAATCCCACATGAATCGCTAGTTTTATCCCAAATTTTTCCGAAGAATTGCTGCATTCGTCCTCATCAAATTTTTATCAGAAAATCCGATTCATACGATCGGTCGTAATGAAATCGAAGTTTGGATGAATCTGAAGAAGACTGTTGTTGAGGAACTTGTTGGCCACAATCAACGACGTACTTCCTGTGATCAGGACGTTACAGAGAAGCGCATGTAATTTTCCTCCGTCTTGATCTTTTGAAAGTAGACCAGGTCAGCGTTTTTCCTTTCGTTAAAGTGAAATTAGAGTCAATATTTGGGAGGTGTGGGAAGCAGTTATTGTCAATTTTTACGAGCGCTCATAATTCTATCGCAACATAAATTGAAAAGTCAGATTAACGGATATTCGATTGCGGCGTCCGAAAATTTGTCTGGCTGACGGGCCGGTGAGAAAATTTCTCCGAGGTTCAGCCGGTACCACCCTCCTGTCGGACATCCAGTGCTTGAATTCACATGATAACGGCGTGCCATAGGTGAAACTCCCAGCGCTGTGCGAAAACACGGAGGTGTGTTTACAGCACGTACTCACATTTGATGAAGGAGCAGCTAGGTGAGTCCAAAAGACAAGTATGTTGAATTCGTCTAACTCTGGACACCGCTAGAATCTGCTAAGCTGTTTGTCCGCACCTTTCGCGGCCCTGGCCATCGAAGAGAGAAATTACTTGCAACGAGCGAATGTTTGGAATCCACAAATGTGTCCCAAAACAAGTGTCACAGAAATGCTCTGTGGTGGGTATATAGTTGAAGCAATCATCCACCATTTTTCGTTAGTGCCGGGTCCAATGCAAATCGACCACCTAACTCAGTTTCAGAGGCACCGAATGCAGTTGTGCATTCAAATATCCCGAATCCGCAACGATATCTGGGCATTATTCTCCTCGTCACTGTGTACTCACTGTACTCACTCCTCGATGGTGTCAGAGCTACACTCGCTTGGCTCGTAAGTAGACACGGAAAACTGACGACGATCAGCTTCTCATTCGCAAGACTCCATCGCAAACGTTGCCATAAGTAGCCGCTGTATTCCGGCGACTACCAACGGATAACCGGTCAGGTAAGAATCCTTTCATCCAGTGACTTTGATTGCCCGGGGTGGTTTCGTTGATTTAGATGGGACAGTTACCTCCGAAATTACCGTGCCTGTATTCGATCGCGAAACTCAGTCGTCCTGTAGTATACCTCTAGTTTATCAATCTATTGCAAAGACCGTACATCCCTTCCGCTAATCTGCGAACAATTCCCTATTTAGTTTTCCGTTTGTCAGTTGAAAACCAAGTGCCAATGAATGAAGGTTTCCGGTGCTAAACTATCGGCCACATAAAACTTGAATGAGTAACGGACACATTTAAACCTTAAGGGTCATGACATAATAAGTTAGCTTGCACTGAATAATTTCTGTTACTTTTACGATTTGGAACTCGGCTAGCTAGCTGTGCAGCAAAAGCATTACTCTGGAGTTAGAACGCTGACTGAGCCGTTCTCCTCGGTATCCACAGTCAGAGATTCATCGAGTTTCGCAGGAAAGTTGCAACTATCAATCCAACTGGCTTTAGCTAATAATGCGTTTATCCTCTTTCGCCACGTGGTAGACCGTCTACCTGTGAATCGTTACCACTGAGCACATTGCTGGAGTAGGTAGGCGGTCTATTTACATACGAGGTAAATGTCCTAATTGGAGTAAACAGTGAAACATTGGTAGCTTATCCATCCTATAGCCATATATCCATGAGGGGCAAAATGGCGTCACTTTGGCACCACAGGTGTTGGATTCCGGTAACACCTGTCCCGATTTTCCCCACTTGAGAAGTGATCTCGCCTCCAGTCATTATACCGGATTCCCACAGTTACTCGGTTAAGTATATTTAGCTACCGATTTGACTGACTGGTCTGCAAACATGAGGTTCGGGCTGTCTTCCACCCAGTTTTATTGCATCATTTCACATGTTACCCGCATAAATCGCGCATCCACTAGCCCGATTGTTCCATGTAAGCTATTCGAAATGGCTTGCATTTGAAAAATTTCCGAACGAAGGAGAACGCTAGTATCTATTCACCTAATATTAGCGCGCAAACGACCCGGGACCATTCTGATCCACGCGGCGTCTGACGCATTTATAAGAGTTCCACGCAGCAGGTCACTAACACATTTTTGTAGGAATAATAAGAACGGATGGTTCTGCCTGAACAAAAGGACCCGGGCAACAGCTTACTATTCGAATGCTCATGACCACTGTATTTTGCATAGATTGCATCTATAATCGAGGGCGTTTCTGTTTGCAAGATGCACCACAGCGTCCGGAATTCTACACAGTCGTAATAGTCCTTTAGATCAAGTACCACAAGCAACGTAGTGCGCTTTTTGAGAGAGTGGCGCTTTTCGGGGTGAATGTGCGATGGTTGCATCATAAACTATGGATGAGAGCTGACTAATTGTCTCCTCTTCCGACAGGTTAACAACCTGGTGTTTTTCATATCAGAGAGCAACGTGGATGCCATGGTCACCGGGTCGGTGGCCTGATGGCTTTCGCTTGACTTTGATGCGCTAGTTATACGTATTTTTGTCAATACTGAAGTGTTCAAGTCACTTGACTTTCTGTTTTATTAAAATTCTTCCATGCAATTGTCGTTTGATCGTCAACCATTGTTTAGACTATGCGGGGTTCAGACCCATTTGTCCGAGTGCATTTTCTCTTTTGGGAAGGGTGTTTCGTTTAGAATGTACCTGCTGATCGCACAATAGTAGCAATGCCCCATTCATGCAAACGTAACTGTTCTTTAAAGCGCTCAGCGCATCACTCAGGACAACAAATCTTTGGATGACTTTCTATTCAACCGCTTTTGCAAATTGTTTTACTGGCAGCTGTATGTACTTAACCGGCTGAGCCAATCGGCTGAAATTGGGCACGAATTTGGTTTGTGGCGTAAGTATTTCCTTATCTTCATGCTACTGTGCGATTCACCAGTGTTCCCTCTCCCTCTTCAGACTTGTAATTATCAGGCAATTAGCTGATCCGCGTGCACTATTCTGGTCGCGCCACCATGAGAGCAGCTGTATGATCTGTTGATCTCGATGAAATCCAACATGCGCTTGGTCGACAGACAGCTCTGAAAGCTTCTCATCCATTTATCTTCCAACCAACCAGTGCCATCAGCTTGAGTGTGTGTTTCCAGTATCCATCCATGCTGATAAGCCCAGCATCTATTCAAGTAGATTAAGGAAGTAGGCGAACGTAACTGTTCCAGTTTGTCTATTGAATGAAAGCGGACTGACAAAGTGATCCAAATAAATGCATGAACGGATCCTAGCTACGTAGTTACGCAATCCATTAGCATCTGAAAGCCACATGGTTCAAGCTAGTCTATGACTGGGCTGGTAGACGTGCTGAACGCATTGAGGCATTTGGGTTGGGAGGGGAAAGGCTTGTTTGATAAGGAATAATGAGAGACGGGCTGCAAAGGACGACTATGTAAAGATCAGCCTTTTTGTAGTACCCCACCTTTAGCCTGAAATCTAATGTTCCAACCCACAAGACACTGGGAGTATACAGTCTGACCCACACGATACTGATCTGTAGGTTTTGCTCGGGGTACCCCGTCGAAGTCAATGTCACAGTAATTTTTTATCGCTTGTAAGCGGGCTGCTTAGCTCGGTGGAGTAGACAATAAAGTGTTACCGTCTGTGAATTTTCATTACGCATGGCAGATCCATTTGTATCGGGTTTAGGATTTTATTAATAATGATATGGGAATTCGCCTCCTTTCTTTCGCATTCACCTCGTCGATGTCTCAGACGGTGGAACAGTTCTAACCATTATAATGCTCTGAATTACTGCAACACCTAAGCCTGCCCACCACGTCAACGATGTCGGTTTTGATCGCGTAAAATCGTATAGAATTTACCGTAGATTGGTGCCCACTAGCAAAACTGATAATCTGTTTAGTTTTGGAATTTAACTAGCTGGTTTTACACTGAACCGATTCTAACTAATATCACATTGCTAATAAAGTGGCTGAGAGAGAGAGAGAGTAGCATGAGAGTTCAGACCCTGACGTGAGCAATATGTTGCATCGACCTTCACATTAGCTTTTTAAGAAAACATTAGGCTATGTCCAGACAGGTATTTGGCTACACAAGTCAATCTTAGGGAGGATAATGCCATAAATTTGGGTATTTCTGACGATTTTTCCGGAGTCCTCTTATTTCCCTGGTCTCCGTATTGTTAGTATCTGTAAGTTTCATCTGAACTGATATTCTTGACTGCATTGTACAGAAACAAGCTACAATTCACTACTCCCCTTAGAAGCCAGTTGACACTCATGGATTCTGCGAGATTGTTTCTTGTCAGTTTGTCCACTGCGGCACTTCTTGCGGTCGTTGTGTCGACTCCGATGTATGAGGCGAGCCTTCTCCTTTGGCTTGTTCGAACCAACAGTGTTACACGACGTCGTTAGTGTTAAAGAAATACGGGTAGTTATACGTCGAAACGAATAAATTACCACGATTTGTTGGGTATCTGATAATGTGTTGCTTCGTTGATTTGTCTACTTTTCAAGACAAACGTTTTTGCTGCAATATGCTGATTTATCTGTCAGTCTAGCTTAATTTGCGGTACAGTTTGTTTCCCACATCCAGTAACGTGTGTTTTGGGTCTGGTAGCGAAGGCCATGGAGTGACAAATATTGAAGGATTTTTGTCGGTTGCAATTTTTTTTTTCGGCTAGGCGTTTCGTTCTTAGTCACACAACTCTCGTTTGAACGTTCGTGTTCCCGTTCTGGAGATATTATTCCGGTGAGTCCACATCAAAGGGAAACACCGGACTCGATCTTCTCTCTTATTAGAGCTCATCAGCAGTGCATATCCAATGGCCGTGCCAGGATTTGAACCCCGCACATCTGATATGCGAGGGGAGCATGTAACCACTACTCCACCAACGCACGCTGGACGCATCTGAATTTTCACGTCTGAGCAGGCGAACGTGTTCACACTAGAGCGATGTGATTGGTGTGCCCGACTCATCGTACGACGACCCGGTAACTGTCCTGGTTGTGGCGATCGATTGACCCGCCAGTCAGATATTCCCAGTCAGGTAGCGTGGCACATGCGTGAAACCAACTGGGCAGCTTTTTGGTTACTTTTCTTGGCATTACACTACAAACGCCCCGTCATTACTGGG